GAATGCTGATGTGCCACGTGGCACTTTGAGGAACTCGGATCTGTATCTGGAATGACGTTGCTGGAGAGGGGGCGAATCTGTTTGGCCTGAAGAAGAAGCAGAAGAAGTGGGCTTCTTCTTCTTCTTCTTCTACTTCCCCCCTCTCTCTTTCTTGTCTATGTATGTATATACTCGGTTACGGGAACAGATCTGTTCGACATTATTCATCAACAAGATTGGATTACTCGAGTTGCTTTGTCATTGAGCTACTGGACTTGTGCTGCACGAGCGCTGATGCTCGTGCGTCGTTGTGAACAGTATCTGCATGTCCAATGTGTGTTATCTCGCCTGGGTTCATTACAGAGCGCACACGACTCCTTTCAAAAGAGAGGACACTCAAGTTGGACTCACTTCCTCACGAGAAGAAGAGATTGAGAGGGTAGATAAGGAATGGGAACAACGTACCTGGAGATAGCTGCCCCCAACCACAGATTTCTCACCAATTGGGCCGACGTGCATTTCGATGACCGGTCATTAGCCTCGGTACCACCCACAACGCAATGCAGTGCCACCTCAGCCGAAATGCCACGTCAACATACTCTCATCATCATACATACATCCGCTGTCGTCACAACTCCCACACTGTTGCCACAGCCTTCCAGCGGCCAGCCTCTCCACCTAGGCCCCGCTAATCAACCAGCGCCAAAGTATCCTTACTGCACATGAAGCATCATCAGCGCACCAAGTAACAATGTCGCTGGTGCCAGGTAAGCGGCGATCACGAACCAGCTCCGATACCAAATTGCAAGAAATATGAGTGTGAACGATATACAGAAAACCAAATTTGCGAAATCACACAGCTGTCCAAGTAGTCGTGTCCAAGCAGAGAGTACAAGATGCACCGAGAAACCATCCATATAGAGCAATACAATGAAGTAATGAGCCAATGTTCAAGCCCGGAGGCCACACCAACACAGTATCCAAAGTCGCTCTTCTCTGTCTGGCGCCCAGCGCCCAGCCTACTCTACCCGACTATCCTACCTACAGCTGGTTCTCGCAACAGGCTCACTTCGACACGCGAAGACCAATGTACATGACTGTCAACACCATAGCCGACCTCTCTTCATGCACCAGGTACGTATCTCGTCACCCTCACCCAGACCTTGATTACCCCACACTCGCCTCCTTCCCTGAAGACCACCAGATCGCCCGCTGTACCCCCTGGTGCCCAGCAGCCCAGCTATGGCCGCCAGCGCCCCGCTGCCCTGCAGCACCCCACTCACCACCTTGTGCTCCGTCAGCGCCCTTGGCATTAGCGCAGCATCAAGCAGAAGCGCAGCAGCACTTCCGCAATGCCAGCGCTGGCCAGAATGCCTGGCCTGGGCTGCCTCACTTCCTTTATCGAAGTGGCAGCCTCCTGGATGCTGCATGTGGCCTGGCTGGAAGCTTCCAGTAGCTTCCGGTTGGGCCTCAGACCCTGCGCCCAGGCCCGAGACTTACAGTTGAGGGCCTGGGCCCTTTTCAGTTGGGCACGGCCTGAGTCTCTGGACTTGGGCTGTTTGCTGCATCTGTGCAGGGCTCCCAGGTAGATGCGTCGGCAGTACTGCTTTTCCAAAGGCCGACGGCCAGCTTCTCAATGTATCGGCCCTGCTTTGTGTGTATGTGCCCAGGCGCAACTGTCATGGCCTGGGCCAACTGTACGACGCAGCTTAGTGAGGCTCACGCGTTCACTCAACCAACTGACGCGCTGTGAGAGCCTGAATACCCACATATGGAAATGTCGAATTTTGGCCTTTGACGAATATTCAGGCCCGCCTTCACTTAGGGCGGGCACTTGGCTTGCTGGGGCCTTAGCCCAGAACATGCGATGTCTGACAGGGCCCCTTGAGGGCTCGTTCCTCACAGTCTGTACAGCCAAAAAAAATAGTGGCGCCCAGTGTGTTTTGCCTTGACCCAGCCAGCTCTTTCTTCTTCTTCTTTTTTTTTTTCTTTTTTTTCCCTGGAAGCCCCTCAGTCTGGGAAAACCAGTCAGATACATCCAGCTCATGCCGTAATTGCGGTCAGATACATGCACAAAAGTCCTAGTATGCGTTTTCCCTCAGTCTGAGAAAGGCCTTACCTTCTCCCCAAAACAAAAGGTACTGTCATCACAATTTACAACTGTATTTGGGGGAGCGTTCAGTCTAGGTGCAGCAATAACAACCCTACGATCTATTTGGATAAAGACAGCAGGGTCTGTTTGGATAAAGGCAGTAGGCTCTGTAGGATCGGGTCATGCCCAGGGCCTCTAGAAGTCAACAGCATGCCCTGCCCAGTTACAGAAGTCAAAAAAAAGTCAAAGATTTCTCAAGAGTCAACAGCAACCATAGATCACACACAATGCAAAGGCTCAGCAACCGTTACACTAGGACTTTCCTGCATGTATCTTACCGCAATTATGGCCCGAGCTGGATGAATCTGACCGCAACAGACAAAAGCCTGAGCTGACTTTGAGTCTTAGTACTTTCTATAGTACCCACCAACAACTGGAATGACTGTATTTGTAAAAGGGACGCTGGACCCAGTTTCCATGAGGTGCTGCTCCCGACCAATAGAGTGGAGTCAACAGTGGGGCTGCTAGTGGTGGGGGCTCATATCACCACCATTAGCAGTGCCGGTTGGGTTAAAAAAAAAAGGAATGTGACAGCAATCGCTAGCTCTGCAGAGAAAGTGCTAGTGTGAGTATCCCCTGAGACTGAGACTGAGACTGAAACTGGGACTATAAGTCTTTCTTTGACTGAGACATGAATGGGGTCTTAGGGTCTCATCACACTATTCATGAAATGAAAAAAACCTCGGGTGATGGCGATATACCCGCTTACTATTAATATTGAAGACATATATTGCCACCTTCTGTGGGAATACCCACTCATATGGCAAGGCCTCTTAGTCGACTGCACTGAGGGCCATTCGGACAAACTCTGGGACACTACAGGCCAGTTC